CTCCTGGTTTGGTTGTGACGCCACCGACACACACACCTTGGTCATGCCTGCCTGGGGTCGTGTTCACTCCGTAGTTCTCCGCGAGATCAACTAGTGAAAATCCCTTAATAGGGAATGTTTTTAGAAGGAGCATATGGGAAATCAAAAAAGGGCTAAATATAAACCTGTATTTACAGAACTGAATAAGGAGCAAAGAAAAGCTGAGCAGAGAGAGCCGGATGGAGAAGGCTTCTCCTAAGACAGGTTTTTTCCGGTGGGCGTGAGTGCGCATTTTGCTGTATATGTGACTTCGTGGAGTTGCCTATAATTAAACAAAGAAAAAAAGCAGCTCATGAAGCCAAAAACAGTTCTGGTGCCAATCATATTATGGAAGCACCTGAGGCTATACCCACTGACTTTATCAGAGCTATCATTCGGTTGCATTTCAGACTTAGAAACGATCAAATGGAGCATAAACTTCTAAAATAGAAGTTTCATATTGAAGACATTTTTTAGGTAGCTAAGGCAACTCTGAGAAATGATCTACATCATGAATGCTAAGAGAAAAAAGAGGCCAACTCTGAAATCAGGGCATAAGCAGGCATGAAAGAAATCCCCATTGCCCAAAGAGCGTGAGGAAAGAATAAACACATATTTATTGAGCAACTACCATAGGCAGGATGGTTGGTAAGCATTCTCGTTTGACCCTCTTGATGTTGCTAAGTTGAAAGGATTATTTTTCTCCCCTCTGTATACTGAAGATCGCAGTGTCAGAGGCTACACTGCTAGCCCACAGCAGGCTTGGGATCCAAAGCTAGTTCAAATCCAGTTGTCTGGGGCGCCCGGTGTCCATTAAGCTGAGCCTTGGGCTCAGGTCATGGTCCCAAAGTCCTGAGGTCAGCCCCGTGTCAGGCTCCCTGCTCAGCGGGAGTCTGCTTCTCCTTCTCCCTCTGCTGCTCACCCTACTTGTGCTTGTTCTCTCTCTCTCTCTTTCAAATAAATGAATAAAATCTTTAAAACAAAAAACCTAGTTGTCTGTCTCCAGAGACCCTTGCCCTTCCAAATACAGCTGACCCTCTGGGGTGGCATCAGCAGGTCCTGCTCCGGAGGTTCTCATTCTTTCCTTGTCAAAGTTTTTAAATCAAATCTATTTGAGAAGTTTTCTTCTCTCTTTAGGGAAAGGTATTTCCTTGAAAGCACTTGGTGGTAAATTTTACCGTTAAGACACCCCCGCCATAACTTTTGTGTGTCGTGTCTTTCGTTATGTCAGTTAGATTTTACGTTATTTTGTGTGTTTATTTCTCTGTCCAGAGACCTTACATGTTGACACAATATGGTGTAAACCAAATACTTGACTCACTTGGGTCACTGTGACGCAAAATCTACGGAAACAGCCAAGGGTGGGACCTGACCAGGATCCTGCTTCACCTGCCTTTACTCAAATGTCAAGGCCATCTTTGAACACGCAGATTAGCCACAGATGGTGAGATAGCAGAGAGCAAGCAGAGCGAGAAAGGTTCCCAGTCCTCACACAAAGTGTGCATTGGAGGACGCAGCCTGCGTTTTGCTGAATAGCCTGTCCCGGTGTCAGCTGCCCTTCAACAGCACCCATAGAAAGTGCTGGTTTATACAGCCCACTGGCTGTGGTGGAGGTGGCGGAGGTCTGGCTCCCTAAGAAATGTGTCCACAGCCCACCTGCTCAGATGGGAGACAACCCGCTTTCATGCAGCTTACCCTAGAGCGGGGACTCCAACGTGCAGAGTCCAAAAGGCAGCATCACTGAGCAGCAGGAAAGAATGGAGCTGCCAGCTATGTATATTTTTAATGTCACCCTTTAAAATGTTGGCTTTCGGGGGCTCCTGGGTGGCTCCATCAGTTAAGCGTCTGACTCTTGATTTCAGCTCAAGTCAAGATCCCAGCCTCGGGCTCAGTGTGAGGTCAGCTCGGAATTCTCTCTCCCTCTCCCTGTGCCCCCCCTCCGCCCCTGCACGTGAGCTTGTGCACGTGTGTGCTGTCTCAAGTAAATAAATGAAATCTTTAAAATTTTGAGTTTCATGTGATGGATTTATATGTACTTAATACATTAAAATTTATACTACATGCATCGATTTTATTAGTTAATAGATGTAACCTAGAAAGACATGCTTGAAAATGGTTTGCCAGCATGGGGGCAAAACCAAAAAAGCTTGGAAACTCTCTGCCTAGGGGAAGGTGAGTATCAGTGGAAGTGTGACCAAAGCCCGCTGCTAAATTCCTAAAATCCAAAAGATAAACCCAAATTGCCTGGGTCACGGCGCAGGGAGAGGCAAACTGCCAGGAGCAAGGTACACTGGACTCTCCTTGCTTCTCTTTTTTGCCAATAAAGATGACACCCTGAGAAATTGCCTAAGAAGCAGGTGTCATATGAGTCACAAGACAGCCCTTTCGTTCCCTGAGTAGCCCCAGGCTATGGCCCCCAAGAGTCCGAGAGACCTGCTCTCCTTCCCAAACCAATGAGTTCTGCTGGTCAAAGGAGCAAATAGTAAAAGACACGTAAAAATTTCAATATCATTTGCCCTACAAGAAATGTACATTAAAACTAGTAAGGATACCCTATTCTCTGACCATCAATTACATAGATTTCAGCAAGTCAGTATTTGGCTGGGGTGGAGAAGCAGGCGTTCCCATATACACCCAGTAGGTGTGTAAATTGGCAAAAACTTTCTGTAGGCAATTTGAAAATTCTGACCAAGAGTTTAAAAAACGTACACATCTACCTACCCATCAATTTCCCCTCTGGGTATTTTTTGAAGAAAATAATCAAATTTGGAATTAAAGGTTTAAATACCTTTTAAAGTTTGTTATTCAATCACTTATTCATTCTACACACACTTACTGGAGTCTTTGTCGAGGCAGATTCTATGCTAGGGGCTGCCACACAACAAAAAATAAAATAAGCCTCTGCTCGCCTAAAGATTATTAATAATCATTTCAGTGTTATTTATAACAGGGAAAAATAGAAACAACACGACCAAAATCAGTGTTGTTATTATTGTTCTGCAGTTACTAATACTTATGCAGCCATTATAAATTGTATTGAAGAACACGCTGGAGGGACGCCTGGCTCAATCAGTTGGAAGAGCTGCCACTCTTGATCTCGGGGTCATGAGTTTGAGTCCCACCTTAGGTGTAGAGCTCACTTACATAAATAAGCTTAAAAATAATAATAAGACGATGACGACATTGGCAAATGTTCATATCAGGCAGTCTGAGTGGAAAAAAAACAGTTAACAAAACAGACATTGTATGTCTTCCCACAGTCATGAGTGCCCAGAGAAGGGACACAGTGGACCCTATCATTTGAGACAGAGGTAATTTAGAATGAACAGACTTCTCTTTAGTGAGAAACAAAGCAGAATAGAACAAAAAAGCATTGGGAAATGTGCCCATCATTTCTTCCTACTTCATGAATATTTTCTGAGGGTAATTCTAGGAGATGCTAACAGAGCAGGTAACAACATCATCGTTGGAAGATTCTGAGAGGCAGTAAGACTCATCTCAGGAACTATGGCCCAAATGAAAATAAGTTACCTCATCCAATATTTAAAAAGAATCTCCAACATAATCAATAAAAAGCCCCTAAGAGAAATGGGCTTGCTCTGTGGGTATGAGGCCTGTTATAAACATTTAAGAAGGCAATTAGCCATATTTATCAAAACTTGTAATGTCACTGTCATAACCTAGCGATTTTATCTGTAGGAATAAATCTATAGGAGTACTTAGGCCTGCATAAAAAAATTTAATAAGGAAATAGAAATTAACCAACTAATGCATATTGGGAGTCTGTAAGAAGACCAGAGAAAAAGAGGCAGCAAGAATACTTGAAGAAATAATGGCCAAAATTCCCCAAATTTGATGGAAAAGATTAATCTGCACATCCTAGAAACTCAACAAAATCAACCCAAAGAGAGGCATGCTGAAATTTACCATAGACGGACTGTCCAACTGCCTAAAGCCAGAGATGGGGAGAGAATCTTGAAAACAGCAAGAGAGAAATCCAGTGTCATGTATAATTGATCGTTAGTATATAAACAGTTGACTGTTCTCACCGGAAACTGTGGAGGCCAGCCATGAGGGGGATGATCTATTCAAAGTGCTGAAACAAAAACAGAATTGTTCATCCAGCAAACTATCCATCAAAAATACATCATTGAGGAGTGCTTGGGTGGTTCAGCTGGTTGAGCGTCCAACTTGATTTTGGCTCAGGTCATGATCTCAGAGTGGTGGGACTGACCCCTGTGTCGGGTTCTGTGCTCAGTGGGGAGTCTGCTGAAGATTCTCTCTCCCTCTCCCTCCACCCTTCTTCCCACACCTCCCCCCACCCCCATTTCACACACACACACTCTCTCTCTCTCTCTCTAAAATGAATGGATAAATCTTTTTGTAAAATGTGTCATTGAAAGTTATTCAAATAAACAAATATAGACAAAACCTGAAAGAATTTGTCAGTAGTTGACCTATCCTGCAAGAAATACTCGAGGGAGTTCTTCAGGCTGTATGAGGGGACACTGGACTACACTTGAATCCACATGGTGAGATAAAGATCTCACCCTTGATTAAGTGCTAGGAATGTGGAGGGAAAGACCAGATATAGCACATTTCTGGTTACCTTGTCATCTTCTTCTTACTCTTCAAGCTTTACACTCTTGAGTTTTTAATGCAATATCTAACAAATACCCAGTCATATTGAATCAGCCTGATGTTTGATTTGGAGGGCTGATGACCCATGCTTGTTTTGATTTGATGAAATTTGGAGCTTGGAGCTAAGAGATATCTCCCTTTTGTATGACTGAGCACAACCTAAGAAATACCACCACCAATAATAGCATCATCATTTTATAATGTAAGTCTAATTGGAGGGTGAATGGAAGTGCTATTGGCCAAGGGCCCCTATCCACTAGTTACATCGTATTAGAAAATATGACCCAAGAATCTGACAATCAAAAAGGATTATCTTTTATTTCACCATTATTTGTTCACAGTTATGCCATCTGGCTCATATAACCAGAGGAAACTTGGCACCCACATTCAACTGGAATGACCGTCAATTCACAAAACATCCTATTTTCTCTTTGCCAAGAACAAAGTGACAACTGATCTCAATGTGTAAGTACTTATAATGTAAGACAAATGACTTGAGCAAGAAATATTTTTTAAGAAGTTAGGGTTAAAAGAACATTTTAGTGTCATCAGATATCTCTAACTATGTTCTAATAGTATAACCTGATTTATCTCTCTTTGTGTTTGTCTCTAAATTTTCCCTTTGATTTAACAAATACTTTTGGACCACCTGCTTTATAAAATGGAATGAGCCAAACACTGAAAGAATACCAAGCTATATTAGGCAGGAAATGGGTCTAGCTCTATAAGAAAGAAAACATCAGATTTCAGTGGCTTAACCCAATGGAACTTAATTTCGTGCTCACTCAACAGCTCAGTGATGGTGTCCTAGGTCATCAGGCAACTCTCTTCCACCTGATGATCCAGGGATTTGGGCTCCTTCTGTCTTGAGTTCTTGCCATCTTCTTGGACATCAGAATCTTGGTTCAAGCTGCCTAAGCATTAGAAGAGTAAAGAAGGCATGCACACTTCTTAAGACACCCAGCCCATAAGTGACACTTGTCACTGCCACTTGCATCCACCTGTAAGAACATTCCCTTGGGCACACCCGGATGTCAGAGATTGGCCAATGTGGTCCATGGCTGGGTAGTCATTTCCCTGCAACAACTTGATACTCGGGAATGAGGGGGAAAAAGCTAGAGGTCTATTCTTGTTGTGTGAGATATAGCTTCTATCTTCAAAGAAGCTCTGTCAGAGTAGAGAAAGAAGTTCACAGGAGAGAAACATCATGGAGGAGGTAGCATTTGAGATGATCCTGGATTGTCAGAACTGCCAGACCATGTGTTGGTGAGAGGGGCATTCTAGACGGAGTGACTGCCACTAAAGAAGCAGGGAGGTGGGAAGGGAATGTTGAGTAACTAGTTTTCCTGGAACAAAGATTTGCACAGGGAAGAGATGGAGCTGAGAAGTTTTGTTAGGTCACTGTTATGTAAGGCCCTGAATGTCAGACAAAGAGCTGGAATTCCATGCTTCCTTTATGATGATTATCCTGCATTTTTAACACAAAGTTTCCAGAACAGTGATAGCATTAATCATTAACAAGTATCAGTCACAGAACAGACAATACATTCACTATGAAGGGATTTCATTTTTCAGATGGTAATGCTAGTAACAGCATCATATGACATTCACAGGCTGTAATCAATTGCAAAAGTTTGCATCTGTTCTCACGTGTCTTGATACTTACAAAATACAATCCAAACAGTTTAATTTCTCTCTTGCTCCTTCTCCCAGGATTATCTCACATAGTTCTCTAGAGGCGCGGAGGGTAGCTTTACACACTGACATCACAAACCAGCAAGGCCTCCCCTTGGGCGGGGCAGAAGACCTTTTTAGGGCTGTGAACTCTGGATACTGTTGAGCCGCAAAATGAGCAAACCCTTTAGAATCTCTAAAAGTAAGAAAGAGAGTTTTATTCAAGCCCAAGTTAAGACAGCTGCTCAGGAAGCACACTCTTCACAGGAAAAAAAGAGCTCCGGAGAATGAACAATTTTTACAGGGTTACACACTTTTTACATCTTTTAGAAGCTCAAAAGATTATAGATTAACATAGAGGCAGCAATCATGAGTTTTGTTTTGTTTTGTTTTGGTGTTGTTTTTTTTTTTAAGAATTCCAGTAAGAGGCAAGTCACATAGCTTTTTTTTACTCCTTTTTTTTTTTTTTTAAAAAGATTTTATTTATTTATTTGAGAGAGAGAGAGAGAGAGAGAGAGCAGAAGCAGGGAAAGGCTCAGAGAAAGAGGGAGAAGTAGGCTCCCTGCTGAGCAGGGAGCCCCACATGACACGGGACTCCATCCCAGGACTCTGAGATCATGACCTGAGCCAAAGGCAGACACCCAACCAACTGAGCCCCAGGAATCACAAGTTTCAACGTCAAGGAATGCAGGGAGTAAGAACATTGACTGATAGCTTTAGGACAAGATGGTTTTTCTTTATGCCACTCATTTATAAAGTAGGTTCACCATGTATGCTTGGTGGGCCATAAATCAGGCTTTCGCTTTGAACAAAGTTTATGTACAGTCATACTGACTTACAAGGAAATCTAAAATGGCTTTCCTCATACATCAGGCCTTTAGAGAGCTTTCCTCTCTTCAATACCAATACCAATCACTGCAAACCCGTAAACATAATTCCCTTCACCTTCATCAGACAGCATCCTCACAGCATCAGGCTCAATGTTGGCATGTAAATCGTACTGGAAATTTAACAGGAATAAATATTTGTTTAAAAAACATTCGCATACAAAAGGACAGGAGGGGCACATAGAGCAACATTGGGGAGCCTTAGCAAAGTAGTAACTGGACTAGGAATTGAACTTTTTCTGAAGGCATTTAGGTTTCTAACAGTAGCATTTTGTGGATTGTGACTTTGATGTATATCTCTCCAAGCTGGCAGTGGCTTTAAAGTAGACCCAAGTAGAGCACCTGGGTAGCTCAGTGGGTTAAGGCCTCTGCCTTCAGCTCGGGTCATGATCTCAGGGTCCTGGGATCGAGCCCCGCATTGGGCTCTCTGCTCAGCAGGGAGCCTTCTTTCCCCCCCACCGCCTGCCTCTCTGCCTACTTGTGATCTGTCTGTCAAATAAATAAATAAATAATCTTTTAAAAATAATAATAAAAATAAACACTTGGCTAGCATCCTGAGTCTCATTTCCCTCAGTAGAGAAGTGAGGGTAACAATTGGTAACAATTCTTCTCAAAGGATTGAAAAGGGGTTGAAATATGATAACAAATGCAAAGGCCTTCACATGCTGTCTGGCTTGGATTAGAGGCTCCGTAAATGATACATCCCTCACTAATCCAAGACCTGTTAGGATATTGGCCAGATTGCCCTGGACCTCAGTTTGCAGTCCCTGGATCTAAACTCCCATTTTGAACCCTGCAGCAGGAAGCAGAGGGTAACCTTTGTGAGGACTAAACCATTTCAGCTTGGGGAAGTTGAGATGAGTTCAGGTGGCACCTGAGTGTGGCACGCCTCGTCCCCAGGTCTTCAGGGTTGTCGTCCTTTGAGAAGAGAAGTAGGAGGCACAGGGAGTTGAAGTGGGGCACAGAGGAGAAGCCTGGTTGTGTGTTTTCCTTTGTGCTGGCTTGTTCACCAGCCTGCCAGACTTTCTTCCTTCTCCCCTCCCTTCCTTCAGAAAATATTTAATGGTACAGATGATGTGGCAGTCGCCATGCATGGCATGGAGTTTGAATATTAAATAAGATACTGGTTCTGATCCTTAACTAGCTTCTACTCTAGTAGGAGAGACCGATGATAATAAAAATCACAGACCCATATGATCAGCCCTGCACACAGGGTGGGTTGATGGTCCAGAAGCCAGAGAACTCCGTGCTTGGGGGAATAGTGGACTTCAGGACCTGGTGATAGAAGGCCTCCCAAGGACCGTTCCTTCAAGGTCATTTTTCCTTCCGGTGGAAGTAGATGTTGCTCCAGTGGTTTGCACCCTGTCAGGAACAACATGTGAAAAGATCAATAAAATGGCTCTTCCATTAGGGAACCTCATAGAAATGAGCTGCCACAAAGAAGCATGTGATGTACAGAGAGGAGGAAAGTGAGGCTTTACAGCCAGACCATGAAGGATGTAGACCACGCTTAGGAACTAGGAATAACAGCTCAACAACCGGAAAACCAAAAACCCAGTTAAAGAATGAACAAAGGAGTCGAATAGACATTTCTCCAAAGAAGACACACAAATGGGCAACAAACATGAAAAGATTCTCAATTTCAATAATAACAAGTGGAAAAAAATATTAACAAGGGGATGACCATTATAATGATGATGATGATGATAATAGTAATGGAAGTGTGGGTGAAAATGTGGAAAAATTAAAACCTCTGTGCACAGCCACTAAGGAAAACAGTCTGGTAATTCCTCAAAAAATTAGAATGGAATTACCATATGATCCAGCAACCCCACGTCTCGGTATTTATCCACAGGAATTGAAAGCAGAATCTTGAAGAGGTATTTGTACATCTTTGCTCACAGCAGCAATACTCACAACAGCCCAGAGGGGAGGACAACGCAAACGTCCATCCATGGATGATGAACAGCTAGACAACGTGTGGTGAACACATACAACGGAGTATTATTCGGCCTTAGAAGGACGGAGATTTGGACAGGCGCTACCGCACGGGTGAACATTGAGGACATTCTGCTAAGTGAAATATGCCAGTAGCCAGGGGACAGATACTGCATGATTCCACTTCTGTGAGGTATCTAAAGTTGTCAGACTCCTAGAAATAGAAAGTAGAGCGGTGGTTGCCAGGGCTAGGGGGAGGTGGAAGAGAGGAGCTGTTTTGTGGGTATGGTTTCAATTTTGCAAGGTGAAAAAGTTCTCGAGATCCACTGCACGACAATGTGCATATAGTTAACACTACACTATTGTACACCTGAAAATGACGAGGATGGCAAACCTCGTGCTAGGTGTTCTTTACCACAATGAAAAAGAAGGAGTTGGGACCAGTCCTTTGAAGGCAGCGGACCGTTCCCTGAAGGGTTTTAAAGCTGGGAGAGACACGGTCACACTCTTTTCTGGGAGTAGCCTCCGGGAAAAGCGTTTTATGGATCAGTGATGGAACAGACTGGAGCCCTGGGGAGACCAGCTGGAGGGCCTTCGAGGGTCCAGACATGGCCTGATGAGGGTGTGACATGCTCAGAGAGAAAGAGGAAGGAGACGTGACAGCAGGAAGGAATGCAGGCGTGGCTGGGAACCACCGTCATTATGCCTGAGGTGTGTGACCGTGGACACTGTCTGCCTGCGCAATTCTGGGCATTGTCCAGCTTGGCGTGCTGTTACTCTTGCCCAGAGAGACATCTGATTCAAGAGGACTCCCTGTCAGGAATTCCATGAACTGCTTGCTCTGTAGGATTCTGAAACTGGGTCCTTTCCCCATCCTGTTCCTCTAGCTTCTTTCTTTATTTTCCTATCTTTTTTTTTTTTTTTTTTTAACAGTAACACCAATTCCCTTGAATATCAAAGTTGCAA